CGGTTCTAGAAGTCAAGGGTGGAGAGGATGGGCCGTCCTACAGAATAGAGATTCCAGCACACCTCCACACTTACCCTGTATTCCATGTCTCAAAGTTGTTGCCGTGTGTCACAAGTCAACAGTTCCCTTCAAGAAGATCCATGATTCCGCCGGATATGGATGGAAGATATGACATTGAGGGCATTGTAGATGAAGATGTGTTCAGGACAGGAGGTAGAGGTCGTCCACATAAACGGTATAAGGTCCGGTTTGCTTATCAGGAACCGGAAGACGACCGCTGGTTTACTAGAACAGAACTTCTAGAAACAGCTCCCGACATAGTCAGAGCCTACGAGCGTGATAAGAAGGGTAAAGGTCCTGCCTTGGACTAGAATATTCTCGGCGGACCTCGAATTTAGGACGGCGGGAGTGAAACGGTTTTCACCTCTTTGCAGTAGCAGACGCAGATCCCAGGGTTCGATCCCTAGACCTTGCCCTACCTGTGTACAGTACCTGTGTAGACCCCGAGCGTTGAACCTGTGACCTGTGTATTCGTAAACAGTTGGAGGCTGTCATAGGTCCGTAGGTAGCAGGGGCTCGATCTGTAGACCTGTAGAAGAGAAGTCTTAGCGAGTTCCAGAAGTCATAGCTGTAGTCCTTCTAGAAGGTCAGCAAGTGGGCAAGTGGGCAAGTGGTGAGTCAAGTGGTGGACTAACTGCAGTGCAAATTGCAGTACGACCTCGGTAGGTTAGCAGTGAGTCCCCATTCAGTCAGCATAAGGTCCAGTCAGTCCCAGTCTGGTCCAGCAAGTACCACAAGGGACTGTGAGCACCATGGGCCGATGGCAAAGGGCAGACCAACGAGTTTCAGAAGTATAAATCAAGAGGCAGCGCCCAGCCATTCATTCATTCCTGCGTGAGCCATGCGGAAGTGCTGCCACAGCGACTTGTGCAAGGAGGTCTGCAGTGAGCCCGGAGAAGAAGTGGGCGAGAGAGAAGGAGCGTAGCATAGCGATAGGGTAGCTGCGGCCATAGCCGCCATAGTTAGAGTTAGTGTGTAGCATGTGTGTGTGTGTGTTCAGAGTAACACGTGTGGGATATCCAGGGTGATCCGGTGTATGTGAACAGTGAGTTGTTTGGGCGCTGAGTCGCCATATCCAGTTGAAAGTGAAATCGTATCTGGTTGCCATATCTCTGAGTTTTGAGTGGGCGCATGTCGCCAGTTTGCTGCACTACTGTTTACATGCATGAAAAGTGTGAATGAAAGCGAGTCTCATTTCAGCCATATTGAGTGAGTGATTGGCCACGGAATCTCGGCGTGGACAAGGGGAAAGGTAGGCACTCTGTCTCTTTGTTGAGGCCAAGACCAAGGGCAAGGCTGTTGTTGCACATGAGTCAATAAGTATAATAGTAAGACCTTTCCGGTTTTTTCTTTGCTTTGTTTTTTCATAAAGGGGGTAGTCCCTAACATTAGTCTCTGCACCTGATTTGGTCGGGTTTATAGCTCACAATCGGTAAACTAATAACAACAGCTGCTTTTGTGAATTTTGTAGACCATTTTTCAGGCACATGAACAAGGTAGTCAGATCTTCTTTTGTTGAGATTGCTGATCGAGGCTGCCCGTTTGTGTGATTTTTTTTTATATGCAGATATCTTACCTTTAACTACTTCTCTGGCAGCCTTCCACTGAAAATTATGGAGTTGACGACACTTCAAGATCTGTGAGTGCTTAATTCTATTGCCCACCACCCAGGACCCGTATTCTTTGAACGCCCAATTTGGATTGATATCTTGCAGTTAGAGAGAAGAACTGCAGGTATGGCAATCTCCTTGGCCTGTCAGCCGTGAGGTGCTTTGCTCGCAACTGGACATACAAGGAGGTGGATACTTTGTATTTCCAAGTAGAACTCTGCCTGCCGTACTGCAGATAGAAGGTGTGGCTATAGTGTGAGTGTAATTGCAGTCCAGGCATTTTGCATATCTATATCTGTACTCCTTTTAAAAACAAACCTGGGCCCCACTTAACGCCTGCCGCGAGCGCAGGAAAAATCATGGAGGAGGCAGCACTGGAGCAGGTTCTGTTTCATGGGCAGGTGCAGCTGTGGGGCAAGCACTTTTCTTTCGTTGTTTGTCCAGGGACTGTGTGCTCGAATGCAAACGTCGCTGGTGGGTTCCGTTCCGTGGGTGCGCCGATGGCTCATAATTAAGGGCTCGGGCTCTCGGGAAGTGTGGGCGGTGACATGAGARGCGCTAGCGGATGCTTATGGGACACAGCGAAGGTTGTGATGGAGGTGGGAGGCGGAGGGGGATGAGGTAGGAGGAGGTGGGAGGTGGGAGGTGGA